GAACTTCAGAAGTGCCTTCGATTAGTCTGCGAAACTGTCTGGAAATGAGCCAGTACGTAGTTAGTAAATGTGTACGGGGGAAATCAAGAAATCGAGCGAAACAACTATTCGTCAGATTAACACTTTCTCCTCATTCTCTCTTATTTCATCCTGTGAGTTCAAATGTCTTCTTTCATTCATAGTTCATTTCAAAACATAGTAGGCTGTGGGGTGCACGTAATCAGTTTGAGTTAAATGAATTTTGGGTTAGTTTACTAGAAAAAGCGTATGCAAAATTAAATGGAAACTATGCCAATCTTGGTGGAGGATTACCGGTCAATGGTAACATTTTTTATATTCGATTGTAGTTGTATTTTTACAATGACTTCATTTTTAGCATTAACTGATATGTCTGGGGGTATTGAACAACGTTTTGAATTTAAATCGACTATTCAACATTCGCATTTAGTTAAAGAAGATCTATTCGATTTTATCAAAAGTTGTATTGATTATGGTTCATTGTTAGCATGTAGTATTAATGCAGCATCGAGTACAGCTGAAATGATACTCGAAAATGGTCTAGTTGTGTGTATCTTGTGACCTTAAATTATCTTTCAATCAATTTCTTTACCTTTTATTAGATCGGTCATACATATTCAATCACACATTATTATATTATACCAACAACAAAAGAGAATGATAATACTCTAGCAAAACGAGCAATATTACGATTTCGAAATCCGTGGGGAAATTCAATTGAATGGTAAATATAAATTCTATAAGTTAAACAGAGTATATGATTTTTAATTCTTCTAGGAAGGGTAAATGGGGTGATGCAGATCCCATTTGGAATTCACTTGACGCAGTCACAAGAAAACGTCTGAGTATTCGACGAAGAGATGATGGTAAAACTTTTATTTCTCTAATTTCTAATGGCCATTTCTTTTAGTCATACATTGTTTTCAGGAGAGTTTTGGATGGCTTTCGAGGATTTTTACAAAGAATTTGATGTAATGGAAGTTTGTCACATTTCTCCGGATACCTACGATGAAATTAGTTTGGATACTGAAGATGCTGAACATCATTGGCGTCTATGGTTTAGTACTGGTACATGGAGAGCAGGAGAAAATAGTGGTGGATCATGTGCTACTCCGGGCTGTCGACATCACTGCTACTATTGGCGAAATCCACAATTTGTTCTTGAGTTAACATCGTGTAGACGAAACCGAAATCAATTGTGTCAGTTTATCGTAGCACTAATGCAGAAACCGAAAGGAAATGATGTTAGTTTGATAACTGATGAACAATACATTCAAATACGAATATTTCGTATTAAACCATACGTGAAAATATTCGATAAAAAAGTATATGGACCTGATGATGTTGAACGAATTGAATCAACAGGTCCGTACGTCAATCGACGAGAAGTCTCCTTATTATTGAAAACTATGAGTGGTGCCTATTTAATAATACCGTCAATGGCCGATGTTGATGTTGAACAAGATTTTATTCTAAGAATATTTAGTGAAGATACAAATGTTGGTCGAACATACGTGAATATATTTCGAGATGATGATGATGAAGAAACAAAAAGAAATTTGCTGCAACAATATGCAGCGATCGATGCACAAATTTCTAAAAAATCATCATTATCATTTCAATATATTCGAACACTTTTTGGTAGTCGAGAAAATGTTGATATACAACCGAATGATCCCTCAAAACAATGTGAAGACGAACAAGTTGATAAAAAACAAACTATACTCAAAAAGAATTCTAAATAAGAGTTCTATGTAGTTTATAATGCAAAAAAATGAAATTTTTTAACCTTTTGTTAATTTTAGTTTTCTCATTTAAAATACGTATTCGGTACATATATCTGTTGTATAGAGTGATTAGGACATATTCATGAACAATTTAAAGGAAATATTTGTACATATTTTTAGCATGAAAATTGTCGTGATATTGACATTTTTATTGGATAATTATATTCTTAATCAATGGTTGTTTAGAATCAATATAATTTTAAATTTTTTCTGTTCAAAATTCAGTACACACATATAAACTATATTGTTTGCATAAATGAAAAGAATTATAATAAAAAATATGAACTGCCAACAAATAATTTACATTTTTCCTGTTATTATTTTTTCATACTGAAAAGTATAGTGTGTTATCGACTGTGTCAAAATCAGTTGCCTTGTATATTGTTGATGAATAATATGTGAAGGACGTTAGATATTTATTAACTTTTGAATGTCAAATAACCGCCATACATAGACAATTTCTTCAACTCTCTGGTCAGTATCATTGAGAGGTTGTCAAAAATATTGTTAAACTTGAAAGTTTAAACAAAAAAAAAAAGTTAACAATTCAGTTTAAAGTTGTTGAAGTTTTAAAGGAAAACCTAAGTCTTCTAATCAGTTATAGAAAAAGGAAAATACTTATTTGTTATTGAAGTTTAATATGCGCATAATCCATGAACTGAAATGAGAAATAAAATATTAAAAAAAAATACCATAATCGTGTCAAGTATGGTCTTTGTGTTCATTATTATGTATAGATCATGTAATAGACATAATAATCGTCTGCGAAGTCTGGCATTAAGACTATGCTCTACTCTCTAACAGAAAAAAAAGTATGCTTGAAGGTCACTATGTTAGAACTTTTTTTTGTTTGTTTGACAAAAAAAAAGTAATAATGAGTAGCAATAGAGTGAAAAGAACATAGAGCAAGCATATCTCTCATGCGAAATGAGTTATTTCTGTTATGATGATGAAAAAAGAAAATCTCTATCGTATCGTGCATGCTGGATGAAATTTTCTTCTCATTTTTTTCTGAGATTTGGTTCATATCCATCACTTTAAAAATGTAGTTTTTTTTTTTTTTTCTCTTATTCATTTTTTTTCTACTGTTGTGTTCAACACGATATTACTTACATTTACCTGCGTGCTTTTTACTTATAGGACAAACTTTTACACATTGTCTATGCGCATGTACTAAAGTTATTTATATCTCGACACACTTCAAAAGGTAAATAAAAGATTATTAATAAATCGATTTCAAACTATTATTCAAGTTAGATGTGTCATCTTTCTTACTCATAGTTCTTTGATTAACTTCTATTCTCTAAAAAGAAAAGATGCCCTGCAGAATCTTTAAAGGTTTGACAGAAAAAATTGTTACATATGAAATTATCTTACTGCATTATGTAACAAGAAATTTTTTTGTATTTTTTTTGAGACAGTAATCAAAGTAAATTCTAGCAGTAGTTTAGCTGTATTTTTAACATACTAGTGTGACTCAAAAACAGTTAAGAATTTTTTTAAGTTTTGATTTTTCATACGAAAATCATTTAGAGAAAAACGTCCTACTTTAGAAAGTGCATAGACCAATCCTGTTAATGCACCATAAATTTTTTTTGCACAGAGATTTATCTCGTTTAACGATACAGAAATGAAACACAATTCCCGAACCATTAAAACATTCTGCAGAACATCTTTTAGTAGATCATAGAAGATTCAGTGTATGCAAGTCAGGTCAAAAAATATATGAGTTAGAGTCATGTCATATAAACAAATAATCATAAAACTTTAAATAATCAATGTCGTTCTTTTGTCTAACTCGAATCTGATACTTAAACAGGTTTCAATCCTAGAACAACTTCTTTTGTCAAAAGATGAATTTTTTTGTGCTTCCTACACTTCTTGACTCAAAATCTCGAATCAAGAAGTACAAGAAAAAAAAAAGAATGAATTCTTTGAGCAAGAAATTTAAGATCTTGAGAAGAAATGCAAAAATATTTTCACTCAAGTAAATGACCGATTTTTCAAAAATATAGATATAAAATGAAGGCTATGTACTAAATATCTGTGTTAAAAGAATGATTGTCAAGTTATGTATTTTCTCCTTTTTTTTTATAAGTCATGACAATAATTTCATAGGATTTCCACTCAACAAACTATCACAAACTGATCTTTTTGTTAACCATAATACTACACATCAGTGAAAACACACATTCCTCAGGAAGAAATCTTGCTGATTTTATGCGAACTTATTTTCTTTTATTCTTTATCCTATTTATAAGAGATTATGCGTTGTTTATTGTTTTTGTAGTTCATATTTTTTTCTCTCAATTACATCACATCAAAACACATAATAATTATCAGTGTAATGAATCGCTAATAATGGACGCACTAACGCTATATGCAATACACCGTTCATTCTTCGATTTATCCTTTCTGATATATTTTTGACGATGAATATATATTTTTTTTTTGCCTTTAAATTTCTTATATATATATAAATCAAATTTTTTATTTTTTTTATTTTTTATTTTTTATTTTTTTTTGTGGTTTAAAAAAACACAGTACAGCTGATCACATATGAAATTTCCTTTTTTGTTTTTTCATCTATATATCTTATTATCAATAACAAATAATAGAAAAATATATTTTTTCATTAGAAAAAATCAGTTTATGTATAGAAGAATGCTATTTGAATATGTTTTTTCATAAACATGCTCAATCATATGTGTGGTACTTAATCTTAGAAATAAAAATAAAATGACAGATGTGTAAATAAACTTGTGCATGATAAATTATTTTTCAATATTTTGTCAATTATATTGTTTCTAACTAGAAAGATGATTAGTTATGATCATATATATATATATATTTGAATATTTTTATGAGGTAGTACTATCATGCAAATAAATGTACTCGCATATAACCGCCATCTTTTACATAACAAAGCATGTTAAGTATGTATTATTGTTTACAGACTTTTGACTTATTTTTCGTAATTTTTTAATTCTGATATCCTCTAACCGTATCTACCGTGGCTCACATATAACAGCCAAAAGAAAATATGTGTGGGTTTCATTGTGCCATTTAGCCGATAGTAGAATATGTACAAGTGCTTCTTTCATATTTTTAATAACCATACAAAATCAACACAGTCTAATAATTTCTCTATCGATTCTGCTTGAAGAAATAATATTCTGCACACACAATAGCAGCGTCTTACCAACAAATACCATCTAAACGAAAATTCGAATTATTTCTTCTCCCCCTCTTGTTTCGTTTATATTCTAACACACCAACAATAACAAAATAGCAAATAATAATAATAATAATAATAATCGCAATAATAATAATAATCTAAATCAAAGCCTTGGTGATTTCAAAGAACGAAGCATTTTTATTTCCTTTTGTTTTCGTTTTTTCTTTCTTCTATATTCGTATATATGTTTTTGACAAAAGTTTTTCTTCTTCTCAGTTATATAAACGTCTGAAAAAAATAGTGTGAATATAATAAATAATGAACAAAAATATATTCTTTTTACATGTTTAGGAACTGTATACATCCTCATCATTGGTGACCATCCAATACAAGCCTGGCTCTGAGTCTAAAATCAGGGTAAGTTAAATAATTTCAAATAATATGAATTATATACGAGTAGGAATTTCTTTCAAAATATTTAAGAAATGTTCTATGTTAATATTATCTATCATGACATATTTAATAAAATTTTCCTATACTTGAATATGTTAGCATCTATCTTCTATTTATTCATTGCATAAGAGTCCAACATCTTAAATTCACATTTTTTTACTATTTCGATATACTAAACGAATAGTTAGTCTGTGTGTTCGTTTTAATTTTTTTTTATTTAGATTATTCGTTATTCCGTTATTTGTATTTATCTATCTATCATTATTTCGTGGCATCTTGTCAAAACACACATACGATGTAGAATGCATTGTAAACGAAATTCGAGTTTATTCATGGAACGGTCAGTTTGATAATGGTGATTGTTGGTATTCTGGTCTCAAATTTATGAATGGAGATACGTGGGGTACAAAACCATTTTGTCTATGTGAAAATGGACAAATTCGTGTATTCTATACTCAGATTAGCAAACCGGATGATTTAACAATATTACGACCTTCACCAATATACAATCAATATCCACAATATAATTTATCTCCAACATCTCAAGATTTGGCAAAATGGCCAATACCTGATTATCGTCCAGGTCGTAGTAAACCACGAAAAATTATTTGTTCTCAAAATAGAACCAATATTAGAGTACGTGCACGAAATGGATGTATTGGATGTCGATGTTCAAAAAATGGAAATGTAAGTAGTATCTTGTCTATTATAAATTATGTTTCTATGATTATTTTTTTTCCAGTGGCTCTGTCGAATACCACCAAAAAAACGGTAAATTTTTCAATATTTTTTTGTTTTTAAACAAGATTAAAACTCGCTCATATATTTTTTAGAAAGGCCACGCTAAAAAAGTTAACTTTAAAAGTGAACGAATGTCGTGCACCATCTTCCTATTGTGTATTAGCAGAACGTTTTACTGAGAATGAACAAATTAGTCGATATGTTGAGTTAGAAAATGGTGATACATGGTACGATCAGACAAAATGTACTAACTGCACGTGTACAAGTGGTCGTTTTGTCTGCTCGTGGTCGACGGACTTAAGCTGTCCACGTGCTTGTCTATTACAAAAAATAAAACCTGTTTTTGTAACGTATTATTTTCCCAATAGTTCAAAATGGACGGCACCATCCAATGAACGATGTCGCCAATGTTATTGTATTAATGGTCAACGAAAATGTTATTCATGTGATACATATTTATCAATAAATATTAATACAGATAATCAACAGAACGATGAAAAAGATCGTCAAAAACAATATTACGCATCACCATATATTTTGCAACAACAATCAACGGATAATAGGCGTAATCAACAATTTAAAACACATTGTATCATTAAAATAAGTGCAAATAGTCACCGTCTAGTGCAAAATAAACAACGAACAATTGTTAACAATAAGTGTTATGAATGTCAACAAGGTCTAGTGAAAAAATGTTAATTAAATATGTTGTTGTTTTTTGTCCTTACTACAGTATTTTCTCTAACTAGTCATTTTTGTTTTACGATGAGAGATAGTTTTAGCTTTTATGTATCTATATGAATCTACTGTATATTAAATGTATCTATGCTGTATGAAATTAAACGTTCGAAAAATCTGCGTAACCAAAGCTCTTAGAAAACAGTCTCATATAATTCATTTAATGACTGAGAACATAATAAAAAGAACATATTGCTAAATTTTTTTGAAAATACTAACAAAAAACTTGCTTATGATGTGAAATGTTTAAGATTTACTAGTTTAAATCATCTTGTTCGTATGAACGAATTAATCATTGAGCTCACGATTCCAGTCTCCTCTCATGGTAGAAGTGGCGACACAGTTTTTGTCTTCGGTTATCATCGGAGTGATGGGAGTGAACACCTTTGAAATAATCAATGTCTTTTACTGTTTATCAACAATTTTTTTGGCTACTTCTATCACCATCACATATCATTTTTAAAAATTAATCTATCATTTATTTATCTTTGGAACCTGTTAAAACAACACCAAAATGAAAAATCTTTTCAGTCGATTAGACATTATAGCCAGGTTTATTTACCCTAATATGACCTTTTAGAATATCAGATTCAATGTTTGTCGACGTTCTGTTTTAAACGGTAAACTGTGATAACAACCTACAATATTAAATGCGAGATATAACACCTGTTTTGAGATGTATCTTATTACATAATAAAATTTACACGTCAAATATAAGTTGACGTTTGAAAATGAAAAAATATCACAAATTCACCCAGTAGAAAAAAGAGAAAATAACTTTGCAGTATACTTTTGTAACGAAAACTATTGTTTTTTGACTACTATATTAATATGTCAATATCACTTAACAATTCCATCAACAGAACAAGATAATGTTGACAGATACTCTCGTTACTTAAATCATAGTAATCAAAATCCAGTATGCATATATGCAGTACGAGCTGTGTCAATGTTATTATTGATAGAAGAATGTAGACTGACAAAATAAATCTTATAATGAACATAAGTAAGTATACAACATCAACAAAAACAACGAAATCGACATAAAAGTCGTAAAAGGAATAGTTTACTATCGCCCTGAGTTGGACGAGTCTATGGATAGTTGGATATCTATGACAACAAAATATCGCGCTCTTCTGATATAGTAAGAAATTTTTTTTTCTGAAACGATTTATAAATTCGTCGTTCTAGAAATCGTTTCAGAACTTGTGGGACACCCTTTATAGTTTAATATATACTGTTCGGTCGATCAGTCACCAAATTTACAGTTGAAAACCAAAACCAAAACCTATTTCTCTTTTTGATAATTAGAATAATTTTTTTAAACCTTCACGTGTGTTATTTTCTGTTATTTATTTGAGACACTGCTCAACTCTCATCTTCTTGTCGTTTTCTTTTTTGAAGTTAACTTATTAGTATGGCTTAAGTCTTTTCACTAATGTGTATAATGAAGCCTGCCTCTCTTGTCTCTTTGAATTAGACGATGGCTGTTCTTGGTGATCGCAACCTCACCACTTCAGTCAATACCAGCAATGACTTTGATGCATGTTTTCGTACATTCGACATATGTTTCGTCTTTTATAACAACTTCGGAAAATAAATTCATATACACGAAATATGAAACTCGACTTGGTATAATTTTAATTTAGTTTAGTTTTACAACCGATTATAAGTTACTAGAGACTCAAACAGAACTCATATCTGAAAGAATCAAAAGAAGACCGCGACTGGTTTCGACCTTTCTTGAGGAACTCGTCAGGTGGTTAAGGCACGACAAGCAACATAAAGTTCACACCGTGCAAGGATGTTATTATTCCTTATTCTCATCGAATAAAGAATGATAAGTCTCTTTATAGCCCTATAAAACCAGTTGGACTCTTGCCAAAGTGGCTGGAAAATCAATGAAAAGAATTATATTGCTAGATTACTAAACGCTACCAAGATACTCGAAACAGGAAATCTGTTTCAAAATAAAATGTCGAAATTCTAAGATATAAAAAATGTTGAAAGAAACAATTCTGCGTTAGAAGAACCAACATTATATCAAAACCCTCAGGTCTATAACAGCTCCTGACGGCGTGTAATGTGTTAACTCGAAATTTGCCGCTAAAAATGACTTCAAACGCATTTATTAATGCCATTATAAACACCTCATACGTTAAAAGTTTTGTATGGCTTTGCATCAGAGGTGTGCACAGGGCACTTATTTTCGACCTGTGCTTCCTTGGCGTCCTGCCCTGTGTGGTCCTGTCCTGCCTAAAGAATGACTCATTAAAAAAATCCTTCCTGCCCTGCCCTGCCAAGGGCAGGGCAGGACGCATTGTCCTACAGAACAAATACCTGATGTTTATCTTTTTCTCGACAAAGTTAAAAAAAACACACCTTTCTTCATTTCAAATCATAACGACTCAATTTTATTCTTTTCTTTAAAAAACAAACACCATTTTTTCATAACAAAAACAACATGAAGGTAGAGAGAGAAACGACAGTTTTTCACCGGTAATTATTTGCTTTTGAGTTCTAAGAAGTCGTTTAATATCAACAGTCGAGAAAGAAATAGAGAGAAGAGAATCAACAGACGTTGGAGATACGATCGGCACAGCATTGTCAACACAAGAGGGCGAGCGAGAAAGAACCGAATCAAACGAGTCTGCAGAAGCCATTGTTCGTGTCTTTATTTATGCTAAAGTTAGAAATAAAAAAGACGCCAGTAAGAAACAATTTTGCGATATCAAATTCTCTCTCTCTCTCTCTCTCTCTCTCTCTCTCTCTCTTTGAGAAAAAAAGTGTTTTTAATGTTTTCTGAAATTGAAATATTTTGAAAAACAATGGCAAGGTGAAACAAACAGATGGTAATGAACGAATATTTACCAGTAGTAGATGGTTTGAGCTACAGTGACGCGTTTCGACGTTGCTTAAGGGTCTCTTCAGACGACTCTTTCACATCTATAATGCTTTCCACTTACATGTTGTGCATTTTTTATATCTTATTGAATATACTGAAAACAGTAACTGCACTGTGCATGAGAGTGAGTGTGAAGAGAATGTTGCATATTTTTGAAGACAGAGAACCGCAAAAAATAGATATGATAGCATGTGTATGGATTATTCATTATGAAACCTAACTTTGAACGAATTTTGATCCAAAATAAAATGTACTTTAATACTAAAGCAGCCTTAGAAACTAGAGAATCAAATAAGAACGGAGTTGAACGAGAATAGAGATCTTCCGAGAGTATGAACGCTGTCGTATGGATAAATCTCTCTCTTCCTCCCTTCATTCAACCGTCATCGGGTTGTTCTTCGGCCCTTCCTGTCCTACATTTTGAACATTTTATGTAGATTTCCACAAATTTCCATTTACTACCGATCGAAGCATCCTAATACATTTTCCTACAATTCTAGAAAATGTACAGAATTCTATGTGACTACTGCTTTAGACAGTTTTCTTCAAGTGAGAGACAGACTGAAATATGGTTTAGTGGCTCACTCTCATGCTCTCCATCCACCATTACCCACTCCGCTCCCAATTACACAAAAATATAGTTTACTAAAGTACAGATTCCATATGGAATCTCTTGATTTTATAGATAAATTATGATTTTTATGAGCAAAATATTCTCCAATACAAAAGAAAATCAGTAGTCACATAGAATTCTATACATTTCCTAAAATTCTATATATTTCTTAGAATTCCTCTTTTACAACTCAGACCTTTGATCTTATAGCTCTGAAGAAATTCTCCTACAACTCAAATGGAAAATGTAGATTTCTGGACGTTGTCTGGAATGTAGGAAATCTAACATTACTGGAGCTGTGGCGAGAGAAAAAATCATAGGGGCTGTAAATTTTTTGGAGAAAGGTGGAAACGGTTTTAATACTTCAAAATTTTTTGGAAGAAAGATTATGAGTAAGAGAAAATAATGAATACAAAAAGCAGGAAAGGCGTTCTAGAGTCCAAAATTTTCGCCTGTGTATACTGCAGAATGCGAGGGATACAAATTCTGTCAGAGACGAGAATAGACGCTGATTACAGTAGGCTTACAATGTTCGTATTTATTGCGAACATTGATGTTTCCATAATTCTGTTTTTTTTAAATTTTTAAATAAACAGAACAAAAGAAAAAATCAAATCAACAAACAAAAGGGTAAGAAGTAAAGACATTACATTATCTAGAAAAAAAGTGTTTCTGAAGAAAACAAAAAATTTGATTTTTAGAAAAACATGTTTGTCTTGGACACACTCAAATCGTTTACAACAGTTGTTAATTCCAGAAGAACATCTGCTAAATTAAATGTCTTTAAAAAGAAAAAAAACTAAAAAAAAGGGCTGAAGCATGTCGTTAGAATTTCTCCAAAGGCAAAGCTTGTTAGTCAAAAAAATATTTTGCTTCACAATTTTTTTATCCTAAACTCTCCTGTGGAAATTTTCTTACTTAAGTTGAGTCCCGCCCAGTTGATCCCCGTTAACTAGAGACCTGAAGATGGTTTAATGTAGCGTTATAAAAATTTCAATTTGCTTTTTTTATTTCACAACAGTAAAAAGCAAACAAATTTTGTCACACTACGTATAGTATGTAGACAGTATCCTCGATTAAATAGAAAGTTTGTTGTTCATTCTTATATTTAGGATAAAATATCACCGGCTTTTTGTTCAACTAAATAACTCATAGTTTTTACGTTCATTGTCCAATTATCCAAACGTTTTTTCAATGTGTCCACCTGTGCTAAATCAAGAACTCTTGGTTTAACCCAGTGCATATTTAATTTTTCATCCACCTGATCAATTGAACCACGAACAAGACCTAACGAGAGTGCTTGCATAGCCAATAATTCAATCTGGTCAACAGGTAATTTTGTACGTTTGGCAACATCTTTAAAATATAAACAACGATTCGACGATGTATGAAATACCATATCCATTAAACATAATAATCTTATTTTTCGTTTTAATGTCGGTTCAGCCTTTTGTAAATCGGGTTGTACGTCGCAAATAGGACTTAATTGTTCATATTTATCGACATCTCCAATATTGAATGCTTGTAATAAATCAATTAACCATTGTTCACGTGTTTCTTTTAATGCTTCTAAAACTGGATGTTGTAATATTTCACCGAAATTATAGACGTTTTCTGCTAATAATGCTGCTAAACCTAGATTGAAAGCGCGTTCAGCCTTTTCTTTCACAGGAAGTGCTCTGCTATCAATACAGCCTATAATAAACAAAACAAAAAAACATTTTTAACACCAAGATAGATTGATCGAGCTTGAGAAAACACATTTTTGTCTACTCGTATACTTTAATGCACTAATCATATTCTAACTACATCTTAATCCCTTTATCCGACAAATCCGTGCCTCTTCTTCAATAACACGGTTACATTCAATCCTAGATTCTCGGCAGATCCGATAATATTGCTTTCAAGATAACGAAGAAAAGTTAAGCCTTTCCTTCTCGATAGTATTTATGAGTAGCAGTTTTTGATTATTATATCCTATAACCTGTTAGTGCACATGAAAATAAATTTTACATCAACTTAAAGCTTATTAGTTGTAGATTTCAAATCAATAATCATCTATCAATTATAAAAAATATTTTCGGCATTCAGACCCATACACATGTCAAGATCACGTCATAAAACTGACTTCATTGGCGAAGAGGATTTATCTGCCAATTATGTGGAATAGCGCAGTAAGATCATTTAGGACATTTTATTTTCCCGTATTTCACAACAAAAAGAAAGACTATTTTCACAGTGAAACTATGTTATACTGTTGTAGAGAAAATTCTCAACAGTGGTAATTTTTACTCGAAGTATTCGTACGAAGAAACCTAAGAACAAGAGTTTCATTAATTCTGAGCCATCCAACAAAATTAATCTTTCTATGTGCATTTCATTTTGGAACAGTCAAATTTAGTTATAACGGATAATGCAGAATGAATCAGTATTTTCTGTTTTTCTCATGTTTCTTTAGGATCCTAAGGTTAGTGGTTTTTTTAAAAGATGCGCCGCGAAATACTCTACAAAACCATACTTAAACTTTAATTTCAGAACTTCAATCAAGAAAACTATGCAAATTATACGAAAGACGAAAAAAAGAAAAACTTTCTCGGTCAAAAACGATTTCTAGTGTTAACGTTTTGAAAGTAAGAAAACCTGAATTAGCCATTATGTAGCTCTGACTTCACTCTATCTTTTAGCTACACTTCACATTTTTTCACATGAAAACCCATGGAAAAATAATAATTTTTCTGTCGGTTGTCACGCATTTTTTAAATTCTGGCCATAGTGGTGCTTTTAGTAAAACTCCCATAACTCCATGAAACCAAAAGTTTTTTCGATCGGATTTGTTTTGTTTTGATCAAAAATAGCTCTTCTCTACCTAACCACAAAATCAAAACTTAGATCATGTTTTCCATTTCTTGTTTAGGCTCATTGTTGGAAACGCGGGGCTGTCAATTTTTGACGCATTTTTATAACTTCTCCAGCAAACCGTCTACTCTAAAAAATTTTCAGACTACGAGAAAGAGCACATTCAAAAGTATAAACAGAACTGCGTTCACACTTGTACTACACTTTTTTTACTAAAATAATAGCAGAAGAAAGTTCAAGTCGAGAAAGTTTTCATTTTACTCGTCTTTCGTATAATTTGCATAGTTTTCTTGATTGAAGTTCTGAAATTAAAGTTTAAGTATGGTTTTGTAGAGTATTTCGCGGCGCATCTTTTAAAAAAACCACTAATCTTAGGATCCTAAAGAAACATGAGAAAAACAGAAAATACTGAGATCTCCCTTCATTCTGCGCCGCCCATTAGGATAGAAAGGGCTAAAGTTGTTTAAAAATAATAATGCTATCAGTACGTAATGTTCTGTTTTACAATGTGAATCTCAAAATATGGATGACTTTTTGCCATCAATGCAATAGTTTACTACAGCACAGAAAATGAAATCTTTTTTTCTTTAGCAGTTTTTTCAACTTTTCAGCTCCATATATTTTTACATTTCCTCAATTTTAAAAGTTTCAGCGATTCTGGATATAGTAAAATTATTTGAGCTCTTCTTCGTATATATACCTAGATATTTTAATGCATTATTGTAGTATTCACTATGGTTTCCCGTAACACGATAGTAATTTGATGCTAAGTCATAATAACGTGAATGAACAGATGTCACATGATCTAATTCATCAAATTTTGTTTGTAATTGTTCAATAATTTTTTTTGTTTCTGGTACATTTTTTGTTATTAAATACGCTTTGGCCACAGTTATATCGCATAACAAAGTCGCTAATAAGTTTCCTTTAACTTTTTCTTTTATTGTTTCAACAAATTTAATCGCTCCATCAACTTGTTTGAATACACGTATGATTGGTATAATAATTTCCACTAATTGTAATTGATTAATACGATGTTCAAAATCAGAAATAAAATTTTCATATAATTTCAATAACTGATCACCTTGCTGTAATTCATCACGATGAACAAAATCGTTTACTTTTAGGGTTAATTCATGCCATAAACGTCGCTGATATAATGATTCAAGTTCAAGCCATTCGTTTGTCAATGGACCACTTTGTTTTTGTTCATTTAAATATGCTTCTACATGCGACATCACTAAGTGGTTCTTTAATATTCTAATCTAAAAAAAAAACAAGTTTACTCTTTAGAAAAACTATTATCATGCGCACCTGCAGAAAGATGTAAATAAACATGTTACAGTTCGTTTTTCCAAATAAAAACAGAAACAGAAACAAAGGCTCTGTTGATGGTTGAATGTAAAAATTTGAAACGAAATAGAAAATAAATCACTCTTAATCGATAGAAAAAAAAATTTTAATTTCTAAGAAAAATAGCTTTTTGCTTTCCTCATTAAATTCGTTAAAATATGTTTAGATCTCCCGTTTTGGATGTACTGCTTTTCCTTTTAAAGGAAGAAACCGAGAGAAAAGGACTGAGTCATTTATGTTCTTTGCTCAGCAGATAGAATAGAGGAAAGTAGTACATTTCTAATAAGATTCGTAATCAAAATGGAATGAATCATCTTGTTCTACATACGAATGTAGCCTTTTCTACTTTGTCCAAAAAAGTAGTTTCAATACAAATTTCTGTCAAGCATTTGTAAAACAGTCTTCATGTTGTGCTCTAAAACTTGGATTTTCAATAAAATTTGAAATAAAAAAAGAGCAACAGTCATTCGAACTCTAATTAGGTGTTGACTAATTGCCTTTTGATTACACTAATTTCTTCCTCGAGTGCTAGTAAAGGTTTGATTTCTATTTTATTCAGTTTATTTATGCTTTAGTTAAGATTTGTGTTAATCAGTCGACGAAGAGTTAATTTGGCTTAATCATTGTTATCATATCTCTATACGAAGATTTAGCAGAGAACTCAGCCAATAAGATCGATCATTATGACGAAATTAGTTTGTATCAAAAGCAAGACAAAGCAAAATTTAAAAAAAAACAAAATGGAACTATTTATTTTCAGAGCGGTAAAAGAGCACAAATCGTTTTTTTGAGTTTATAGAGACCAGAAATCATTAGACCCACAGAAGAGATGGGTAGCACTCCCCAGTTCTTAGTTAGAACCTCAAAATTGGGAATAATTTTACTCTGCCTTTGTAAAACATTTACTAGGCATTCATATACTCCTGATTCAGCTGTATTAGAATTGTCCAGTTCTTTCTAGGTAACAGTTCTTGTCAACTTGGAGCCTGAGAAAGTCTTGATTTTGCTGTCTATAGTTGCAATAATTAAGAAGGAAAACACATAACAGTAAAAAATCGGAAGAGTATCATTTGATTATGATATGATGAGCAATAACTCGCCGCTGAACCAAATGTTTTTATTCGTCTTGGCTGTTCGTGATGAACGTGACCAATACTTTTGCGAGCTCTGATGAGATGAGTATGCGAAGCGCGCCACTGTCTATAAGCATTTAGTCTGAATAAAAGTGTTTACTTTACTACAGAACTATAACAACACAACATATCATTCATTTTTAAACAAACTTTAGTGTTTTATTTGCAAATAACTAAGTTAACTTCAAACTAATTGATTTGTTCTTGGCACCGACGAAGGGTATTTTGTGGAGTATTAGCATTTCGAGAAGATCCTTTGTGGATGATCAGGACCGTTTATAATTTCAGTAAACCAAATAATACAAGGTAATGCTCGCCTCCATTTGATTAACTTAGATCTGCGCAAGCGAACGCCCTTGGGTGAGTTTTAAATCGAAGACAATGCACCCGCCTGCCTTCGGTCAGTACTCGCTCGTACCCGCCTAACTAAAATATCTAGATTTTTTCTGTTTTCAAGTGTAAGGTTCGTAATCTAATATAAATATATAAAGCAAAATTCTCTAGAGGTCTAAACATATTTCTGAATTTAAAACAAAGATCACGTCTCCCTTCAGTCGGCGCTCGCTAGGGCCATAACTAAGACATCTTCTGGATTTTTTTCTGTTTTCAAGTGTAAGGTTCGTAATCTAACATAAATATGCCCCCGGAAAAAAATAGTTTCCGCCTGTATTTCAAATATATTGTCACTATAAAAACACATTTTTTAAAAAGTAATTACATATTCTGAAAGCCCGTGGATTTTTCTATCACCCTGTATAATTAGGTTTTGGTTTACACTTATGTATTACCAAAAAAAATTGAGTGCAATGAAGGCGCCCTCATGTCCAAATTCCCACAGACTGGATTTTGTCACTGTCATTAAAATTAGTTTTTTAAAATTTTTATCACTATAGAATTACCTTTTTAAAAAAGTAATTATATATTCTGATAGAGTTTGAAATTCTCTATAACTCCATATATTTATCTATTGCCTTGCATTTATTTGTTGAAGAAATAATTTGAGTACAGGGAACGTACGCTCAATTGACAAGTATCAATCACCCTCTGCAAGCAGGTTGGAAGTATTTCTAATCGATTCGTTATAATAGATTATCTATACACTATCAATTTTATTACCCGTAGACCACTTTTTTTGTATTGTTACAGTTGACTGCTCTCTGGCGACATCTACCCCGGCCTACAGAAAACATTTGCTTAGCTGTTTACCTCTGTGCATCAGTAAATATTTCAATCAGATGATCTCTTTGAATATTTTCTGTCTTCTGTGATTCAATTTTCCATAGAATATCTGACAGCCATTTTTCCGTATTTTGCGCACACACAGACAGACAACCATTTTGTAAGACCCTATAGGAAAGTCAAGGGAATAATTACACAACGATTGACGAAATCAGCTGAGGAGATGCATCAGACATTCTTGATGTAATAAGCCAGTTGCTGTTTTTCATCTACAGGCTGTCGATGAAAAACAGCAACGACGACAGCTCCGAAAACTTCATCCTGTTATTTTTAATAGGCTATCACTTGCAAAGTTCTGTAGTACCGAAATAAAAAGTACCATTAAAAACATAAGAAGTGATCTTACCTCGGAAAGACGAAATTCGTCTATAAGTGCAATACTCTTTTTTTCTTACTAATTCTGTTTGCAATGATGATAAAAAAATCACAGACCTGTACGGAAACATCGTGACAGAAATGATTTTTCTGAGCAAATAAATATCTTCCAAAAGAGACAAACTGGAATTGCATTGGTGTTTTTCTAAAAGATCAATACCGACTGAAAAATTATACGGCGAACCACGGTTAATTTTTAAAATTTTGACATCTTCAAAACATTTCCATTCTACGTTTTATATTACTTTAACTGATTCTTATTACAAGTGTTTGAAGTTTAGTTGTTTTTCTTAGATGCCTACACATTAGACGGTTTGGATTTTAAAGATATATTTCTTGTTATTTTGCTTACTACTGTCTAATCCTTCTAAAAACTGAGATGTTTAAATTGTTTTCTTTGATTCCGATTACATTCGACTTTCTTATCTTAGAGGAAAATATTTGAGATGAGAAAACAAACGATGAAGTTTTAGAATCCTTTTGAGTTTAGTTTGTTGATAATTCCGTTATTAATTATAATTATGCTCCCTTTCGTTTTAGAACAAAAGTTTGTAATTTTTACCCATAACTTCTGTAAAGCAGTCAATACATTAAAATGAGTGGCAAAGCAAATCCACCAGAATTGAAAAAATTTATGGACCATCGCTGTCAGCTAAGATTAAATGGAAATCGTACTGTTGTAGGGGTAAGTGAGAAAAATATTTCGTAATTTTATGAAAAACCAAGCTTACGTTGACAAACTTTTGAAATATTTTCTCTATTTATCTTTGCAGGTATTAAGAGGTTTTGATCCATTTATGAATTTGGTTATCGATGAAGCCCAAGAACATATGAAAAATGGCGAAAAACGACAAATCGGAATGGTTGTAGCAAGAGGCAATAGTGTTGTGATGATTGAAGCATTGGATCGTCTTGGTTAGTCTGATATATTTATTTCGTTTTCTCATGTAACTGTGTATATTTTTATAAACAACCGTGTAGGAAATTTTTTATGTTGGCTAAAGTAAAAATGCGAACAAAAAAAGTTATCACTGAGTTAGATTGTATCCGTCATTCAAAACTAAAACATATTGTTGAGAAACGAAAAACGCTAATCATTTCAAAATACGATGTTATCCTGTTTGAATTGAATGAAATCAACGTTTTAGTCGATTTCAGATGTCTTTTTATGTAGGCATCTTCGTTCATAATCGATAGATGACCGAAGTTAATTTGTTATACGTTGAAATTAAATAAAGGTTTCTCAGCTTACGCCCTCATATAAAGTGATTCAATATAAATATTAAAACATCCATTTGAAAGCTAGTGAATGATGAAAGACAAAATTCAACTTGTATTGAAAATTTGTTGTTAAATTTCTCTTCGACTTTTTCAGCACAACAAAAAAACACAATATAATTCTAAATGACATATACATCTCGATCGAAAGATAATGTTCGATTTACCAATCGTGATCACATTCAATAAGTTCTCTTTGAGCTTGTCTCACTTCATACTTATCACTTAGTTTTTTGACTGTCTATATTCAATAAGATTTTGGTGAAAATCTTTGAAGGACAACCTACTAAATAAAAGTGATTAATTACCTGTTTATACTAATCTAGTTACATTAGATATTACTGTTCGCAGCGGTCTCATATTCACGATCATTACTATCTGTGTACAGCTGATGCTTAACGAATTATTATTCATTTTTTCGAAATTATTCTTGTCTACGACTACACACTTGTAAAAGGTTTGCTTTATTGAACATATAAAAAAATTTCTTAACTTATATCGGTTCACTGATCTCTGACCGAGCAAATCAATTGAAATTACTAAGATTAGATACAATGTTTACCAGAAAAGTAGCATAGTTAACATCGTTCGATACGTAAAATATAACAAATAAAACTAAACAAATGATAGAGAATAATTATGTGTTACGATTGGATTAGCCAATTTGATTGTTGTTGTTTCTGTTCAACTATTCACATACGAAAACAATTCCATCAAGTCTTCTATACACAAATACTCTAATATCAGAACATGTCTCAGAATCAGAGAGAGCATTTTCTGAATTCTAAAAATGCACGATCTGCTTTATTCCTGTACTACCAATAAGCACAGATAATATGACAAACGACAAATGTACAGTATATGTACATTTGTATGTACAGTATATGTACATTTGTAAAATATAATGTAGTTTTTCAAACTGGTATCAACTTAAACTGTAAAAGTCCGAATGTGGTGTGTCTATTGACGTGTAAAAGATGTAAAAAAACAGTATGTAGGTGCAATACAACAGAACACTTTGGGGGTTTTGAGTCATGAAAACATGTGATCATTGATGCAAGGTTTCAAGGCTTGTAACATCCCTAATAACAGATTATTATTGACACAAAACGCCGGTAAAAAATGTTTATAAACATTTAACAGTCTTACAATTTTATTTTGACATTCTTTGACATTTTTACGTTTCTTATAAAACTAAGTATATTTAAAATAATTGAAAAATATTTTTGTAAAATCATTTTACACAAGAAGCGAGCTTTCGATACTTCACAGTATCATCATCAGGCTAATATGACTGTGAATTTAGAAGAGAGATGAATATACATACTAGTTAAAACAGCGAAGAACGAAAATA